TGGCCGGCATATGAGTGTAGAAGCCACCAAGCTGATTCCAGCTTCTATGCTGGGTGACAGCAAAACAAACCAGCCCACCACCCACCCTGACCTCCCCGTGCAGGAAATGGCAGGTCACACATCATCACCATTGCTTTGAGCACTGTTCTGTGGAGCTTTGCTCTTCAGTGGTGATGGGTGACCAGGAATACACACAGGTAGGTGCACGTGATGGAATGCAGTCAAACACCCTCAGTTATCGGAGTAAAGACCCAGAAGCTTCTCTATCATCCATGAGCTCCATGGAGAACAGTTGAGTCTGAAATCTTGGATCTGTGAACAAATTCTGCCTTTGACTAATGGGAGAATCTCACTGGCCTTGCCCCTGGAGTTTTTGCTGGCGTCAGCACATCTTCATAGATGGTCAAAAACATGACCACTCCTCCAGCGCTACATGATACTTAGCCAAGAGAATCAACGTGGGAGGCACCTACTGAGCATTTGCTGTGTGCTGCGTGCGACTGTGTTGCCTACTCGGGAGTAGGAAGGCAACAGAGTTAAACCCTACCTTCCAGCCCTTTCCACCCACCAGGGATAGAGGAAGCCATTAGGACACACATAGGAAATGACAGGAAGCCATGAATGCTAAACAGAAATAATGCAAGCACAAAGTTGCCTGGCTATAGGAAAAGCCCAGTTTCCCTTGCGATTTCAGGGCATGGTAGGAAAGAGGTAAGCAGAGAGGAAGCCTAAAGGGGACAGAGCCAGTTGGGAATCTGTTTAGGATGACCAGCTACACCTAAACCCAGCACTTTGGTGTACACAGGCAGTTAGCAACGGGTGACAGACTAAGAGGAAAATGGATGTGCAACCCATACAGCCTGCCATATCATAGGCATGATGGGACTCTGAGCCACTGGCCAAACAAACAAAAAAGTAAGCAAAAAGTCACGTTTCATACTTACCAGACTGAGAAAAAAAAAAAAAAATGGTGAAAACATCAAGTGTTGGCCATCACTTGGAGCAGCAATGGGGTGAGTCCCACCATGGGGCTGTTGCTGTTTGTTTGGTTTTGTTCTTCCTAAAAAATATTTATTTTATTTTATTTAAGCGTGTGTGTTGTGAGCTGTCACACTGTCCTTCTGGAGTTTGGCTTGGTACAGCCTTGGAAAGGTACAGGGAATCAGATCTTCCAGGGAGCACACCTGGGTGCATGTGCTCCACATGTTCCTCCACAATGCAGATGTGGAGGAACACTTGTAGGGTGCTTTCACTCTTGCCACATGGATCCCAGGGATGGAACTCAGGCTCTCCGATTTGGCAGAAGGGGCGTTTGCCAACTGAGCCATTTCTTCAGCCCTAGGGGGGGGGACTTCTTGTAACCTATTGGTGACTGACTGTAAGGTGACATTGCCACCCATGAGGGCAGTCTGCTAAGGTGACTGAAGGTCGCATGTCCTCTGAGGCCTTGTCATTCTGGATGCATAGGTGCTCAGGGCAGCATTGCTTCTGAGGCAAGGTGGTCTGACTGCCCATCCCCAGAGCAACCGGAGGAGAAAATGCTACAGATCTGGAGGCAAAGCAAGACAGTGTTAAGAGCAGGACAAACCATCTTAAAGACATGACTCTTAGTGGGAAAGCAAGAATGAGAAGGTCCACAGTACTGCCCTGCTTACATCTGGGTAGAACATAGACACACAAAAGGGATTTTACCAGGTTGATACAGGGTGTCCCTATATGACAGGCTGGCCGGGGAGATTATTCCATAGACAAACACTTGTCCTGCAAGTGTGAGACATGCAGTTCACGTCCTCAGAAGCCAAGTAAAAACTGGGAGGCGTGGCAGCCGCCTGTGATCCAAGTACAGGAGGAAGACAGGAAACTGCCACCGAGGTTGGCTACGTGGGCTAGTGGAATAAGTGAACTGGGTTTAGTTGAGAGGTCCCAATTCAATAAATAAAAGTGGAAGTGCGGGAGGAAGACATCCAACATCAACTGGCAGCTTTGGGCCTTCACACTCATGCACACACACTCGCATGCATGTGGGTTCATATACTGGCTGCTTCTGCAGTGCATTGGGTTAGAATCTCAGCACCCACATGGCTACTCAGAGCCCTCTATTCCAGAGGATCTGACACCCTCTTCCGGCCTCCATGGGTGATGCTCAGATATTCATTCATACCCATTCATACACAAACCCTACAAATACACAAATCTTTGTTTTTGTTGTTGTTGTTGTTGTTGTTTTTTGAGATAGGGTTTCTCAGTGGCTTTGGAATCTGTCCCAAAACTTGCTCTTGTAGACCAGGCTGACCTCGAACTCACAGAGATCCGCCTGCCTCTGCCTCCCGAGTGCTGGGACTAAAGGCGTGCCCCACCAATGCCAGGCTAAATACAGAGACCTTTAACAAACAAAAATATGGAGCCATGGCAGGAAGTAGGTGGTCAGTGGATATACATTGGATGGATGAGGCAGTTACCTGATATTGGTGACGTAAGATATCATTTAGCAACCTGCATAATGGCAAGCTGCCTTGAGAAGTTGGGCCTGGCTCAGATGCTATGGCTGATGGCTGCGGGCAGTCTGGATATTCTAGATGCTGCATATCTATTTGGGGAAGATTTCTGCCAGTCTGGTTTAAATGGCTCAGTGCTTCTAGGGGAAGCCACCATTATCTGGAAAATTCACTCTTATGAAACTGCCCCTCCTGGCAGGCCTAGATAAATGAGGCATTCCTGTAATTGTATGTAAATCGCGGCTCTAAAGTGCTTGAAAAGTTTGGTGTCTTGAGTAGGCTAAATGTCACCCCTCTAAGTTTCTTCGCCCTCTTAATTTGCTTGGTAAATCCCATTTTTTCAGAGGGTGAATTACAGTAAAAGTGGTTTATCTCTTTGGCATTCTGTCGACCAGGCTTAGGGTGTGGGACCAGCGAAATGATAATGGATGTCACTGGTGGTGACCCCGGGCCCCTCAGGAAGCTGCAGGCTTCTGACTCATCTAATAAAGTTAACACGAATCTCAGCAGTTTCAACATTAGATAAATGTGCTATTACCCAGGACTTTGAAAAGTGTACAGCTGTGTGCGTTTGGATGCGTTGACACTGTTGAGCAGAGGACCAGACCAGTCAGTACTGGATCAACCAGTGTGCCCCCATCCCGCTCCAAACCATGACTACAAATGAAAAGAGAGAACTCTCGGTAACCGTACTTCCCTCATTCAGGCCCGTACCATCTTGTCATCGGTTTTCAGCCACTTTAAGTGGGCTCAAAACAACCATACAGACTGTTGACACTCCTCCTTTGAGAGGAACATACGTTCCTGCAGCCTCTAGCTTCTTTAAAACTAGATGGACAGCTGCAACTTGCAGGCCTGGGTTTAGGAGGACTGCTGGCTCTACATGCTCTATCATACTGCTCACTCCTGGGATCCAACGACCAAGACTGTAGGAGGAACCATACCCGGGCACGCACTCACACCCTGGGGGAGGGAGGGGCAGCCATCTCAGAAGACTGCCTCCACACTCGCTGTCTCAAGCCAGAAGGGCAGTAAAAATAGTTGGCAATAAGAATTTGTTGCTCTAAGCTACAAAGTTTTGATATGATTTGTTAGGCAACAGAAAGTAGCTAAAACAATCCCTATTTTTGTTTTATTTGCTTTGTGCTTGTTTTGAAGTTAAAATGTCTCATTTACTTATCTTTACTTTTACAGTTTGGCACATGTATGCTACACATACTGACCATTCTCACCCCTCACCTCCTAATCACCCCTCTCTACCCCTGACTTTCCCACAAATCTCTCCAATGTTCATGTCTATTTGCCCTGTTTTGTGACCCACTGAGATTAACCAGGATCTTCCATGTGACCAGGGGTTTGGAGCTGCGTGTTGGAGTCCAGTGATGTCAGCAGAGGGTATACAACTAAAGGCAGAGATTCTCCCCTTTCCCAGAATCTATTAATAGCCAATAAATTCAGCGGTCAAAGGTAGGCTCCCAGAGTTCTTCCCTGTTCCATGAGCGGTTATTGATAATGTGGGTCTGTCTGGCCCGAGGGCAGGTAACTATAGTTGTTGTTAGTCAATGATTGCAATGATTGTGTGGACCTAGAAAACACCTCCCTCATCTTCTGACTGCTATACACTCCTGCCCCTTCTTTGAGGGGGTCAGATGAATAATAACTTGTTTAGGGCTAGACCCACATCTGTCATTATTCTCTGAACCTTGGACTGCCTTGAGTCTCTAGTCTCCACTGTTCATCATGAGGAGAGAATTCTCTGGTTAAGGTTAAGGGCAGCTTTTGTCTAGAGGAATAGGCACAGGTGTTTAGAAGCCAGGGTGCTGCTATGTCAGCTTGGTTAGTCATCAGAAATACGTTTTCCAAATGGGCTGACTGATTTCTCCAGACCTGAGTTGCTAGACAGCCTGAAAGTATCAGTTCCCAACTTCCTGCGTGGCGGGCCTTGAATCCAAACAGGGGCCAGTTGGTCGTCCCCATAATAGTCAAGCCACGATTACACAGGTGGGTGTATCTTACTTTCCATCTACTTACATTATATACCCTTTATCCCACATCTTCATCTCCCCAACCCCTGACCTGCCTCAACCTTTCCACCACAGTGTTCCCCTTCTTCACTTTTTTTTTTACTACCTTACCCCCCCCATTTATGATAACCTCTTCCCCTCTTCCTGGCCTTCTGGCTTCCACCGGTGTTCTATGAACTAAAGTTGAAACTAAGGTCCTCTAATGAGAGAGAATATTGGGGCCTGGGCTATCTCACTCAGAATATTCTTTTTCATTTCTGTTCTTTTCCCTGAAAATTTCATTTTTCTTTATAGTTGCATACTATTCCATTGTGTATGTGTCCACTGTGCAAGTCTATGTATTTTTATTCATAGGGATTGAGGCCACTGATAACCATTGATGTTATTGGAAGGGGTACATTAATTTCTGTCATTTTGTTGATTTTGTGTTGTTTTCTTAGTCCTCGTTTAATTAACAGTTTGAGTATTGTTCAACAATATGTAATGTTTTATGAATTTTATGAATTTGTACATCATCCTTGCACAGGGCCAGGGTAACCTCTGTATTGTTTCAGTTTTAGTGTATATGCTGCCTGAGTGAGCACTGAAGTATTTTTAAATTCACTTTAAAAAGATAACTTCATGTAATCATCATGTTATTGTCAAGTTTTAAGCTGGTAATTTTTTTTTTGATGATGGGCATGCTATAGAGCTTTCTGTTTTCATGTGCACAGCTCAGTAGCATTGAGGACATTGAGCTGTTGCACAGCCACCACCATGATCCAACACCAGACTTTTATTTTATTATTATCATTATTATCACTATTTACTGTTTTTGGTTTGGTTTGGTTTTTGTTATTGTTTTGTTTGTTTGTTTTTGGAGGCACAGTTTCTTTGCGTAGCCTTGCCTGTCCTGGAACTAGCTCTATAGACCAGACTGGCCTCAAACTCACAGAGACCTACCTGCCTCTGCCTCCCAAGTTCTGGATTAAAGGGGTGCACCACCCGGTTTCAGCACCAGTATTTTATCATGACTCCTAACTGAAATTCTGTCCCCACAACAGCAGCTTCCATTCTCCTGTCCTTGAGCCCTGGCTATTGTTCCATCTGTCTGTGAACCTGCTGCTCTGGGACTTCAGAGGAGAGGGATAATCACCATGGCTTAAGCTTCCTGTTCACTGTGGCCTCTTACATTAACATGTTAATTCATTTCATTTGCCAGCCTGACTGAGCCTGTGCTTGGATACTTGGGCAAATATCATCCTGTGTGTTTCTGGAAAGGCAATTTGGAGTGAGACCGACAAGAGAGTGTGCGGACTGAGGAAACAGGCTACCCTCTAATGGTGGTGGGCTCCACAGGGTTGATGGCTGACAAGCTGACGAGACTCTCTTGCTCCTGGCTCTCCTCAGACACCCCCCCCCCATTATTCTAGCTTTCCATGTCTCTTATTAGTTCTAACCCTCCATCGCCCTGACTACTGTGCCCATCATGGCTACCAAGATTGTCACTGAGCTGGTCCTCTTGAGAATGTTTGCAATTATAAATTGTCCACCCCATGTCCAGACACTGTCTCCAAGGGCTCCCATGGTAAGAAAGAAGAAAGCTGCTTTTTTTGGAGAGGCCTGGGGAAAGTCAACAGATATGAACTTCATGCCAATCATTCCAATGAGACCTCAGCTGGGAATGCCTCTTAAAGGCCCCTGGTTCTGGCTGCTTGTCATACTGAAGGGGACCAAGAACATCTGGAAGGTAGAGGAGGGATGAGTGGTCAAAACAGGTGTGTACCCCTGGACTCCCAGACTCCCAAGACCTATCCGTGTGTGTGTGTGTGTGTGTGTGTGTGTGTGTGTGTGTGTGTGTGTGTGTGTGTGTTCTGGCCAGGAAAGCAAAGCCCAGTCTGTGTATTCTAAAGGAAAGGATTTAATATAACAGAGCAGTCACTTGGGTGATCAAAGGGCAGGAAGTCAAAAGGGATAGTAGGGAGATCAGAGCTCAGAAATGGAAGGGAGCCCTAGTCTCCTCTAGACTGCAGGGGCAGATGGAGGAAGTGGACTAGGACCTGGAGACACAGTAGACTGCCAGGAAAGACATGAGCACATGTAGGAAAATCTGCCCAGATCAAGGCTACTTCCCAAGGAGAGCGGTGGGTTGGGGGTGAAGCAGGGAGAGAGATAAAGAAATAGAGAAGGACAGAGAAACATAGAGATACAGACAGAGAGACAAAGAAGCAGAGAAGGACAGAGGGACAGAGACAGACAGACAGAGACAGAGAGAAAGGAGAGGCTTCTTCCATGTTTGTGGTATTTGATGTTTCACAGTCATCTTCCAGTGACTGAGCCTATCAGGAGCCAAGAGGCACAGGAGTCTGGGAAGCAGCCGGAGTGGCCATACTTCCTGCCACCCCAGTCCAGCAGAACAGAGGACAGGAGAGGACAGCCACAGCCTTCTAGTCTGAGAGGACAAACCTACACAGGTTCCCAATCCTCTCCTGACCCAAACCAATTCAAAAGTAAACTTCTTTAAAAAGTAAGATTTTCTAGACTTTGTAAATGGCCAGGCTCTGCGTGTGAAACATGCTGCTTCATTTGATAGCTCTGTGACACTGAGTACATTTTTCATCTCTGAATCCCAGTTGTAAACAAGGAGAATTACAGTCCACTTCCTCAGAAATGCCACGAGAAATGCCACGAGATACTGTGGGAAAAAGACAAGGCTTAAAGGGAAGTGTTCACATTGTCTCACAGTCTGGACCCAGAAAGCAGAGGAGCCGAGCTGGGGTCTCTCTCCTCAGCGACGGTACATGGATTATGTCAGTTTTTTCTTATGCATAAATACAGGTCTTTATGTGGAATAATACATAGTACACAATACTGATCACACATCTTAAAAATTAAAATTAAAAATCTAAAGTGCAATAGCTCGCTTGCTAAGAATTCTCACCCATTCTGTACACAGATGCTGTAGGTTTATGAGCCAGACACATCATGGAGCAGGTAATGCAAAAGATGAGGAAGTCAAGGTTGTCTAAGGCTACAGTTGCCCTTGTGTGGTGGCTTGAATGATGTGTCCTCCATAAATCTCAGGACCTGAATACTTAGTCTCCAGGTAGTGATTGTTTGGGAAGGATTAGGAGGTACGTCCTTGCTGGAGGAGGTGTGCCACTTGGGGGTGGGCTTTGAGGAATCAAAAGTCTCTTTCTAGTTGAGTTAATGCTCTCTCCTCCTGATTTGCTGTTCAGTATGTGAGTGTCCAGTTGTCCCTGCTGCTGTGCCTTTTCTCTGCCCCATGGACTCTCACACTCAGAAACACTAAGCCCAATGAATCACTTTCTTTTAAGTGTGTTTATAGTAGGTTGAATCCTAAGTGCTTCCAAAGTAGCAATATTTCCAAAGAGCTCTAGAAGCATGTCTATTTGGTCCAGAGTTCTAGAGGCTAGGAAGTCCAAGAGTATGGCACTGGCATCTCTCCAGGGCCTCTGCTGTGATGCAATATGGTGGGAGAGCAAACCTGTGTACCTGAGTTCCCCAGGGGCAGTGGGCAAGAAGGCAGACATAACAAACCTGCTGTGCCACTCATTAACCTACTCCCTCCACAATGGTCCTAATCTCCCATTGAGGGGCGGTCCATGACCTAATCACCAGTAAAGGTCCATCTCTCAATACTGTTACAGTGGAGATTATATGTCAACATATACGAGGGAGGGGCCGTTCTGAACATAGCAGCGGTCTTCAGGACTCTGGTTGCTTTTCCTTATCGCTTCCTTTTGCCAAGATGGTGCCTATCAGAGCAGTTTTTGGCTAGCTTTTTTGGATGGACACCCTGGGGGAACGAGCCTCCTGTTATTGCTGAAGGAGGTCAAGGGGGAAGAGTTGGTAGACATCCTTCTCTATGAGTTTTCTCCTCTTTCATAGCCTGGGAATCCATTCCTAAACACTAGCTAGGCTAACTATGGTGTGACAATCAAGCCAAAGCAAGGTCTAGCTCCTGGCCAGGTATGGAGATGGGAAGTTAGGGGCTTTCAGCTCACAGAGATCTATGGTGCCCAGCTAGGGAGCTGTTGAAGAATCAGGGGTGCCAATTTCCATTCATCTCTGCACAGTTCCTTCAAGCAGCCAACTCCTGCTCTGGGAACATTACTCCAAGTGCAACTTAACAGACTGGGAGGAGGTGGGGCTCAGCACTGGGTGGGGAGGATGTCCAATGACTGTCCAGAAGAAGGGGTGAGATGGAAGTCTCAGAGAACAAAGCCTGGTTTGGGAAAACTATCTGTGAGAAAACTGAGCCTGGATGTGTTTTGGGAGACTCTTGCCATGAGGAGAACTGACATCAGGTGCAGGTTTGGGTCACTCCTCTGGGAAGCTTTTGTCATCTGCTTCAGGTTCCTCATTGGTCACAAGCTAATCAGAGTCCTAGGGCTGCTGGCTTCACTGGTATAAGGTGAGGATTTGGGGAGGGTTGTGGTATACAGTCTATCTACTTCAAACCATGGATGTGTAAAAGGAATTGCTGTCAAACAGTCAGACTGACCAAGCCTAGTTCACAGCGCAGGCAGGCTGTTTTTACTGTGGTTAAGGAGGATGCAGGCAACTTGGGAACTGCGGGAGAACAGACAAGAAGGATCTGGTTGACCACAGGGGCCTTTGGTGCGTGGAGACAGAAGCAAGAGCTGGCATGCTCAGGGAGAACTTCGGCAAGCAGCGGTCCTTCCTTGGAACTGCCTCCAAGTCGCTGCTTGGGATAGAAAGTTGGAATAATGGAAAGTTAGTGATGCAGACTGCTTTCTGGAATGGTCATGAGATACTTCTATGATGCTCAATAAAGCCATCCTCATCTGATACTTCTTGTTCCAGGGAACTGTGAGTGAGTTTCCAAGAATGCCAAAGTGATTTACACTGGAGTTTCAAAGAGTAGCCATGGTTGGGGCATTACCATGTCTCCACCAAAGACCCGAGTTCCAGTTTGAGTCTTCCCTCTTCAAGATAAGCATTATCCACAAATTCCCTTCACTGAAGCCACTCAATGCCCCTGGGGTTTTGACCTGGAGGGTTTCTATGGGGTATGAGAAGAGTTAGAATGTTAAAAACTGGGAAGGGTCCACTGCTATGTACATAGTCTCTATCCTCAAGTGGATATATTTTTTTTCCAGGTTTGGTGACAATTGATAATGTATGGTTCCTAGACACTCAGTTCTGAGCAAAATAATCAGTCACAAAATGTTTTATAGGTGGAAGCTTATTGAATACAAATTATTTAGAGGAAAGGTCTGGAAGGGCAGGAAGATCACAAGTTTAAGATCCACAAGGAGGCCAGAGCAGGCCAGGGCAGGGGCTGGGGGGAGGATGCTCAAGGTGGCAGTGAGGTTAAGTAGATGTGGGTGGTGTATATCTTGTATTCAGTATATTTTGGCCAGGTGAGAGCCACACCCCAGGACTCTGGGCCATATTGTCTCTAAAGACATCGTTTCTGCTCACCTCTTGGATTGGCCTGACTGTTGAAGGATGAGGGAAACCTGACAGCAGAAACCAACACCATTCTGAAAACACCGATTCAATGCTCCAGATTAATTTGAAAATAACACAGTAGCCATTGTCTTAGGAACCTGAC